CTCTGATCACAAATTCGGGCAGGTAGAGCTTGTTAACCTCAGTTGGCAGTCTACCTCTAGGGCTTGTCTACTTATGCATATGGCGACTGGACCCGATGGACACAGGGGAAACCGGCAAACAAGGGACTGAACGTTAGCAAGCTAGAATGACACTCAGTGCGAAAGAACCTCAGTGAGGAGCTGGACAACGAATTGGACCACCAATGGAGTAGAAAAGGACTAGGCAACTTTCATAGATGTGGTTCACAACACCACTTTCACTCATCTGGGCCAGAGCATGTGCAAACAACAAGATTGGTTGGATGATAATGATAAGGAAATTCAGAAGCAGCTTGACGTGAACCATGCAAGCTACAGGGCCTAAAAAGCAACCAAAAGGGGCCTCCTCATATGAACAAGTCAAGATGGCAGAAGCTGAGAAAAAGCGAAAACTGCATAAGTCCAGAGCCTCCTCCGTATCTCCTGTGCCAACAGACCACTTGTGCCCAACTTGTGGCAGAACCTTCTGTGCTCGCATTGGATTGATCAGCCACAGCGGAACACACCATACCAAGTCATCATTGACGTGATGTCCTTGGTCATCGCCGGCAACGACGGATGAACAAGTGAAACTAGACACATGGGCACACTTTATCACACAGTGAAATGGCCAGGCTCTTTTTGGCCCAGTCCCTAACATCACTATCCAAACAGATGACTCATTCCAAAGTTGGGGCACCTGCGTGGAAGAGAAAGAGGGCCTGGATTGCAGGTCATTAGGGGAATAATCTCTGCACATTAATCATCTGAAGTTACTGTGAGTTTTCCATGCTCTTTGGCTCTTGATCACTCAACAATGAGAACAGGCATCGGCTACAATCTAACAGCATAACAACTCTATCTAAATCAATGACAAAGAAGGAACACATTCTCAGGAACTGTCAAATTTAGAGGAAAAAATTCCATTGTAGATTAGGATAAAGAGCCTCTTCAGGTGTGGACGCCATCTGTCACACCTGGTCTGTCAAAAACAACTACCCATGTCCTGCTGTGTCACTTAAAGTGCATGTTCTGAAACTTTTGTTTAACAATTGGAAAGGGCACTGTTATCATGCCAAGAAAGACTTCAGCACAATTTTGGTTCTCGATCAGTCCCAATTTGTGAGCTCAAAAGAACTAGTGATTTGCAACTCTGAGAAAAGAGCCAATTAGCCTTATTAACAGTGAACTGAAAGTGAGGTAAACTTTTTCATTTTGGGAACTTTCAGCATGAGAATGAAAGCAATGAAATGAATGTTTATTATAGATTAATTTCATTTAACAAATAAGTGAAAAGTTGAAATTTACTATATATGTTTTAAGCAACGTGTAAAAAAGAGGGCAGTGAGGCATGGAACCCAAATTAGTCTGGTACCACCCCATTTAGCAGATTACATTGAATAAGATGAATTCAGGGAGCATGACGAAAATGGCTTCCTTGTGAATAAGGCCTATTTGCATGGCTGTCACAGAAGCTTGACAACTATTTGGGGGGAGTCAGGTTGGCGTAGTGGTTCTTTCCTCACCTTCCACTTTTGAGGTCAGGGTTCAATTCCAGGTTGATCCAAATGTGGATTGGGTTTTCAGTCCTTACCTGATTCTGTTTTAGCCAGAATATTCCTCTGGGGTTTTACTCCCACCTCTAAAACTGTAACTGCTTCTCATTGTCTCCTCTGTACAGGTTACTTCAGGCTTGCGAGTTACATTGCCTATTAGGGTGCTTTTGAGGAATCATTGGTGTCATTATCAGAAATGATTAATAATAACAATAGCAATTATACATTCCACCACACTTCAATTTTTTGCAATTATTTGCGTCAACATTCACCCAAACAAAGGGCAAAGTTCACCAAGAAAACTGCTTCCTGTCCTTTCTCCAATATTTTTATGTGTTCATGAGAAAAAATAGACAAGAAATGGTTGAGTGGTTAAGACGTCTGCACTAGTAAGCAGGAGGCCGTGGGTTCGAGTCCCACCCGAGTAAGCTTGTGACTTTTTTCGCAAGCTCTCGGACAAGTACTGAGCATACAGTGTTTATTAATATATACGTTGGGTAAGGGCAAAACCCGTTATATAAATTAACATCTCCCCAACGCAAAAATACATCTTGAAAATAATTCACGGCACCCGCTGCTTCACCTGACTCGGACCGGCCAGCCGACCCCGGCAAGCTCGGTGGTCGAGTGGTTAAGACGTCTGCACTTGTAAGCAGGAGGTCGTGGGTCCAAGTCCCACCTGAGTAAGCTTGTGACTTTTTTCGCCGACTCTCGGACAAGCACTAAGCATACAGCGTTTATTAATATATATGTTGGGTAAGGGCAAAACCCGTTATATAAATTAACATCTCCCCAACGGAAAAAAAAAAAATACATCTTGACCAAAAGAAATGAATTTACCAAGTTAAGAAAAGGAAAACAGTATCAAGCTTTAAAACACATTCCACAAGAAGTGCAAGAAGTCCTCGGTCTACCAATAATACATATTCCTGCTTTAATAAATTACAAGTAAAGTCCTTTCATGTGTCCTTTGCTTGTCTACTTGTCGTCTTGACAACTTTAATTAGCTACACTGCCCCACACTAAAAACGGCTCCCTACATTCTCCGGTGGTCTATATCCCCTCTCCTGTACACACCATGACTCCATATCAACCATCCTGTTTCTGATTATAAAAATGAACAAATTGCCTTTAAAGAGAAAAATTTCCAACTTCAAACATAAGAAAAGACCATATTGCACCCCTGAAGCGCATCACTGAAGCAATGAATTTTAAGGACATTACGTGATGCATTAAAAGTAGAAACTAGACGATACAGGGCAATCTGTAAGATGGCATAAAGACTGCTGAAATATTTTGGGAGTCATAAAACAAACTCTAGTATTTGCGTCAAGGAAAATTTGCCCCCCAAAATGGCTGTTAATACATTTTACACATACAGTACAGGATAAATCTCAAACAGTTTGGGGGTTCTTCACATAACTTTGAATAACACAAATGATATAAGTGGCCTCTGGCCGTTCTGTAACGTGTGTGTCTACAAAATATAAACTGAAAGATGTGTAGACAAAAAAACAACTGCATAGATTCTGGGGGCTGATACTACTTTTATATGTAACTATTCCATAATGCAGACTTGGATCTCAAATATATAACTTCAATAAAGCACAAGGGAATGCATGAATGAATGTGCTCACCACCAACACCAAAGTAGGTTGTAATTATGCTCATTTGAAAACTTCAACCAAGTAAAAACTTCCATTACCGTGAGTTATTTTCCAGAGTGCTACTGCTGGTGTGCCTACTATCGGCATTTGAATCATCCGAGAAACCAGGGGCAATGCTGGATGGTGGGTATGTTGATTCAGTAAATGGATTCTGATCTGTAACAGGTAAACAACCATTTACAGTGTTTTAAAAAAAGCCATGTAAGTCTGATCAGAGTACTGTCATGCTGAATGAAAGGGAAATAAAACCTCTGTAATTTACCTGCACAAATCTATCAACTGCTCAAACTATTAAAAAAATTAACTATAAATAATTTCAAAGTCCCCTTTTATTTTTCATCTTGATTTCTGATGCATTTTATTTTTTACTCTCTTATTTATTCTTATACTACTTGCATATGATACAACTAAGAATGTTTCATTATTTTCAGTATTATTTTATAGATTATAGATTTGTTTTAATGCTGTGAAATGGAAGTCACAGTGTTTGGAAATTATTATATTCTGGTATTTGTCCATTTCAATTTAAAACAAGACAACATTTTAACATATGCCATTTTGCACAAATGCCATTTTGCTGTATGTATACAGCTAAAATGCTGACTATTCCCTCTGCTCTTTCATTAACTTGTTGAACACAAAAATAAACAGCCAATAGCAAAATGATGTTGAATAAAAAAAAAACCTTAATGCAGAAAAAACAGAAACCATAAGGTTTAAAAGACACTTAGATTACAAATAAACTAAGCACAGTGAATTAAAAAAAGGCCTATATGACACAAATGGAGTTTGGAGGTTTCTTCGTGGAACACAAAGTGAACACAATGCAAACACCTTATTGTCTCACTCATTGCTGTAATTCAGATACTACATCCATTCACTTGCAATCATTGAATGTGTGATAAGCACATTTGCGATCTTTTGATCTGAGAGCTAGATAGACAGTGAGAACATGTAGATGCCAATGGCTGTTTTCTCCAGTGGAGCCAGTGGACAATCATAATGAAATTGTGTATACATGGTTTTTTTTAGTTGTTTTTGTTTTAATGGCGCTTTCTTTAACTCAGGCTATTTGCGCCAATAACTGTACGTTTATTCATACACTTTATTAATCAGCATCGCATTACGGAGTTAGGAAGACGGTCCAGTTTTAGAGGCAGGAGGAAACCAGAGTACCCGGAGAAAACCTGCGAGAGCGGGTATGGACTGGAAACCAAATGCACTTAAAGCCTGTGCCAAGCCGGGACTCGAACCCAGGCCTCATTGGTGCAAAGCGAGGAAAAACTGTTACGCTAACCCGCTCCCCCCCATGGTGTATATATATGCAGTGATAGTATTTAAATGGTACAATCACTGGGTGTTTGTATCAAGCCATGAATCATTACATGGCAATGTGTGGCAATGATTTCACATTCATCCCAAGGAATACATGTATTAAGGTTCACTTCTGTTTACTGTTCAAGTTCACCACGCTACTCATGATCCACATGTTCATTGGCGACAAGAAATTTCCCAGACAGTGTGCAAGATGGTTGTCAGATGTTTGTTTTCTTCTAAAATCAGAATGTTGCAATTCATAAGTCTTTGAAAACTCAAAAATCAGAATGGTCCCCATTAGATCATAACAGTCATAGGTCTGCTAGTCCCCACCCATGCCCTAGCCCAGGTTGGACGCCAGTCTCCCTAACGCAGTGTAGCCAGGGAGTCCACCTGGGCTACCTATGCCCATAACAAAACCACTGTACCTGGGATAAAGCAAAGCAGTTCATTACCAAGCATGCACATGCAGGTTGGCTTGTGCCCTCTTGTAGAATTACTTAGTGGCCACTTACGTAGGCAAATATGCCATTTCCTGCTATAGTAAAATACCTTGGCTACAGCCTTATTTAGTGACTATTTGCATTTAAGCATGCTACACTGCACACAATATGAATGCAACAGCTGTGGAATGATAACAACGTGCAGACAGACTTAAAATGCAGAGTCACACAAAATATGCAGAGAGTGGAAAATAAAAACATTAAATTCTGCTGAAACATGAAAATCCCACATGGCTGCATGACCTGTTGACAAACTGTTCACTTACCAGTGTGCTGCTGTTCTTTACTCTTACTATGGGTCCCGGTTGCCCCCATGCCAGGAGGGTCGGTAATTTGTCCCGTTTTCCCCACATGCACTGCTTGCTGTGGCTGTCTTTCTGTCAGCTGCTGCTCTCTCAAGTTGACTGACTGAATCTCTCTTACCTGAAGCAAGTCCAGGGTATGGACCATTAAAAAAGTAGATTAAAGTTTGAAAATACTAGGATTACTACTGGCTGCGTATTTGACAGTTTAGGTGGCATAAGCGCATTATATGGCTGGGTACATACGTATTTGGCTTTTCCACACAGAAGTGGAAGAGCCCTCCCCTCTGTCCTCAGTTCTTCCCATGTTATGTTTTGGTCCCAAATCCCATAGATCTGTGCAATTTTTCAGTGTAGCCTTTTGGTCACTTCTAAAGGTTTTCGTCAAACTTGGCCTGAGTAAAGACATAACATTAACACTGCACAATATCATGATGCCATGGAATATTCCCATAAAGGGACACTTTTCAGGGTCTCCCATGGAACTGAAATCTAAGATCACAAAAGTTCAAACCCTCTGTGTCTACAAAGAAGACATTTAATACGGAAGAAAACTAGATTGACGTCACTATGATCATGTCATTACATGATTTTTTATGGCTATCTTATTTTGTGATTCTTTTTAGCTGGTCTTGTAAACACAAGGTATTTTCAAAGTTCTTTGGTATTAAAGACCTTGGAACAATCTTTGTAAATTGGATTTGATTCAAAACGGGCGTTTCACAATAGTGCGCCTCCAAGAGTTTGAAACGCAATAGCCAATCACAATGCACAAAATTTGTCGACCCAAAGTGCGTTTGGAAAGGGTCAACAAATTTTGCACGTTGTGATTTGCCAATGCTTTACAAACTCTTGGAGGTGCACTATTGTGAATCGCCCGCATTCAAATCAATTCCATTCAATCTATTATATTCAATATCGCACTTATTCCCATATTTGTGTCAAAATAAAAACTGAAAAAAGTGGATCAGAACACAACTTTTTTGCCTGTGTGATTAAAAATTAAAATAAAAGAGGAAAATTTCACGAAGTAAGGTTGACATGGTAAAAAAACAATTTTCGAAACACACACCAGCAAGGTTCTGTTGACATGAAAGTTTGTATGTGGTACCTGCATTTACAATACATGTGAAGTGACATTTAAATTATTTTGTTTTAGTCGGATATCTTGTCTTCACTTGTCTTCTGCTTGCATATGTTGACTTTATATTTAGTCTAATCAACTTGTAAATTTGAGCACAGAGAATACATTCCAACAGCATGACATTGTGTCCCCTACGTTGACAATGTGATCATGTAATTTTTTGGTCAATTTCTTCAATTTCTGCTTATACCCATTAACTATGTCCTGACTAGCACCTTGGTCACTCAAAAACTCCTGACCTAAAAAAACTTAGCAAAAACTGATTATCATGATGTCCATGGAAAGTGATGCCAACCTTTCACTTTATGCCCACTTTAAATTTCTACACAAATCTAAACAACTACTGTTTACTCTTTCCAACATTCTGGCTAATATTAAACATTTTCTGGTGTCATCTGAAATTTGGACTCCTTTGAAATTTGGTCCCTTTTCCCTTGTCCCCCCCCCCGGCAGAAACGTGGGAGGAGTCCTTGAGGTCATACTTTCACAGACAGTCACGACATATGCATATTTCCCTGGTGATCTTTCGCTATTAGCTGGTTATCTGATCAACTGTAATGTGCCCTCTATCAGTCTGACTCGAAAAGCCCAGGTGAAAGAAGGGAGGACAGGAGGGTTGTGACTATCTGAGTAAGTATGACCTTGAGGACTCCTTCCGCACTGGGGGGGGAGTCTACTTCAGTCAGACAGTCACTACATATGCAGAGTAGCTAGGACCCTGGAGGGGGGTTGGCGAAGGGCGCACTAAAGTTAGTAGTTGCAAATGAACATGAGGCTACATGTGTGTTACACAGTGTGGTATATAGGGTAAAATCACCAGTGGAGGGAGGATATCAGGAGGACACTTGGGACATCCATCCTAGTGGCGATTCTGTAGTCTTGATGTGGAAGACGAAATTGTCTTGTTTTGGATATTGTCTGTCTGCAAGCAGTGAATCAGGTAGCATGAGGTGAAGGTGGAAGTTGACTTCCAGCATGCTGCCTTGCAAGTGTCGTCCAAGGGAATGCTTCCAAAGTAGGTCCACGAGATTGAGACTGCTCTGATGTCATGTGCCTGTATGTGCCAACAGGTGGCACAGTAGGATAGAGATGGCTGTTCAGTGTTAACAAATTTGACGGCCGACACAGCCCATCTGGCTACAGTGACTCCTGATGCAGGCCGGCTAGGATTGACAGAACTGATGAACAGTTGTGAAGACGAGTCGCTGAGATATTTAGTTTTGGTGAAGTGCTAGTTTGGAAATCGAACTGGGCACCAGCGTTTATTGTCTAGGGATCCCAAGTATTTGATGATGTCAGGAACAAAAATGTCTGGAGGATGGAAAGACTCAGGTTGATTCTTTTAAGGAAAGCCATGAACGGGTTGAGTTGAACGCTGTGAAGTTCCCAGCGGATATGTCCATCAGCAATGGATAGGGTGTGGAGTTTGCTGCCCCTCCGAGACATGGTAATTTTCAGACCAGTTTCACCGAAGTGTGGAGGAGAAAGGCATTACCAAGAGGTTTGAAGGGCCGATGTACGAGAAGCTCTAGAACCTGGCATAAGTCCCATGAGGGGATGAAGAATCTCGAGGGAGGATGATCAATGAACACGCCACAGAAGAGATGTTTGAGAGCGTTGTTGTCCAACATGGAAGAGCCGTCTTGAAAGCCGGAATGGATGGCGGAGATGGCAGAATTACATTACTGCAGAAAGTCGCAACTTGTATACTAGAGTTGAACAGGTGCACGAAGAAATTGGCTATGATTCTCAAAGGTGCGTTGGTCAGAGCTACACCTCATTATGTACACCATGAAGTAAAATGTTGAAGCCTACTGTTGTAGACTTTGCACATGGATTGTTGCCTGCCCTCGTGGCAGTGTTGTTAGAAAGGCTAGCTGAGCGGAATGATCATTCAACAATGGCCAGCAGGTCAGGTGGAGAGTCTCTGGCCAAGGGTAGAGAAAGCCGGAGCCCAGTTGGTGGAGGTAGTCTGGCGTGAGCAGTAGTATTGGAGGAACCTGGTACAAGAGTCTGGTGAGATGAGGGAACCAGGGCTGGGCTGGTAAGGCCAGAAGGGGGCAATGAGGAGGACTTGGCAGTGTTCCTGGTCAATTTTGGACAGTATGACTGAGATCAGGGATATTAGAGGAAATGCGTAGGCGAACATCCTGGTCCAGCTGAGATGGACAGCATGGGTTGCCCAAGCTTGTTGGTTGTGGAACTTCGTGCAGAAGGCCAGAAGCTGGGCATTTTGAGACAAGGCGAAGAAGTCAATGTGGGGTCTGTCTGTAGCCTCGAAGACTGAGCGTACTCCTCCCGCGTGAAGGATCCACACTGTTGGGTGGATGTTTCCCTTAGAGAGTGCATCAGTGATGGTGTTGTTGGATCTGGGGATGTGCGTTGCTTGGAGATCAATCCCATGGTCCACGGCCCAAAGGAACATTTCTCTCATCAAGAGGCATAAGCTTGGAGTGTGGATGCCCCTTGATGATTCAAGTAAGAGACCACTGTCGTTTTGCCCCCTTGATGGTTTAAGTAACAGACCACTGTCAAATTGCCGGATGGATCAGGACGTGTTTGTTCTCAATGGTCAGGCAGAAGTGTCGGAGGGCACTGAATACTGCTTTGGGTTCCAGGATGTTAATGTGACCCCAAGGAGCGGCGGTTCCCAAGTCCCTGTGCATGTATTGTGGCAGAAGAAGACCAGGTCCGTGAGGCTCACCATGAGGCCCAGGAGGTGAAGGCAATCCCAAGACCGGTGGAGTTTGTGGCCTTGGCTGCAGACCTGTCGACGATGACACCATTGCCTAGGTACTGAAAGATCAGGACATCTCGGTGGGGAAGTAGGCCGTGATACTCCTGACGACGCTCGTGAAAACCCTTGGGAAGGTCAAGAGGCTAAAGGAAATCGCTACAATTCAAGTTGGCATGAAATACAAACATGAATTTTCAAGAGATGAAGTGTATTACACGGTCCCTTTAAACAAATGTTAAAAACTGACCAAGCATATAAGTGTATATTTACATGTAAATGTATTCCCACATGCAGTTCAATTTCCAGCAAGCATCACGTTTTTCTTAAATTATCTTGTTCAGGAAGATCAAAACATATTCTTGTTGCACAAAAAACCCTGGGCAAGAAATATCTTAAATTGTTAGTTTGCCATACATAAGTAGCATGATGCAACTGATGCCAACACAAATTTTTAACTTTTTAAAATTTTAACCACCTTAATAGACGGCGTTCATGTGTTGGCCATCTACAACTGAAATTTAGGGGAAAAAAATGATTTTCAAAATCTGAGAATAAACATAACAGTAATAAAATTGTCACAAGTCCTCCTAAAAGGCCTTAGAAATGGTACCTTTGAACCAAAACTCTGAAATGAACAACTCAGAGAAAATATAGGACCAAACACGATGAAATATAGTTCAAAACATTTAATATATGAACCCCCCTTTAAATACCACTAATTACACAGTTCATCTTAGATACATTCAAAGCAAACCTCGCGGAGAACAGATCAAAATTAAAAGATACAGATGGGCACTTGTGGTCTTTGGTCCGGATCTCGGTTTGAGGCGGGTCCCGCTGTCCTCCCAGAGGTTAGGTGTCTTCCTGGCACATCAGTGGGGGAAGGTCTACCCGTCAACCAAGACCCCAGTCCAAGATAAAAAGCCAGGCTATATCTGGTTCCCTGGCATAGCTGTCAGATGGTTGCGACGAGGTGACAAGACTTCTAGACTGCTGGCATTTTCACTGTCATCTTGGTGCTCTCAAGCTCCCAAATACGACGCAGTACTTGCAAAAACGAACCCAATCCCCGACCAAACGCATTGGTCCAACCTGGGGGATGAACGGGTTAGACGGGCCTTTAATGCCCCAACGTAGTGCCAGCAGTCAATCTCGTCACCAAGTGCCGAGCCGATGCCCTTCCCAAGGTTTTTATACGAAAACGCAATGCATTGTCCCAAATTCCTTAAAATCGTACCATCTAAACCGGAATGGTTGCGGCCAATGAACAGTCTTTTCTTATTGTCCGACTATTGACTACTGACCAGAGTCCAGTCCATACTTTTCAACCATTCACCAAGTACTTAATATAAAGTCACAGGCACTGGCCTCAGCATTTCGTCCGCCAGTGAATACCTTTAACCATTCAGTTCAATTGAACCACAACGTTCTGGAATTTAGCACAATTTTAAGTTAATAAAACACGGCACATTTCTATAATAAAACAAAAATCTCTTAAATGAAATCAAAGTGTGAGTAAACTAAAACTTCAATACACATTCATCCCAGTTTTTGTTTCGAGTAATTTTAAATTTGTGACAAATGTATCTAAATATTTTTGTCCCCCTAAAAAGGACAAGGACAAGGGGACAGGACAGGACAAGAAAGGAAAGGTCTCATACCCGCAATAGTCTGGTACCATCCCATTCAACAGATTATAGATTCAGCGAACAAGATAAAGCATTGCTTCACCATGAATAAAGACTATACGCATATTATATTGTTGATGCTGTTTACATATAAAAAGAACTGTGATGGCCGATCATCCTACCTCCTGTTCTTCAGCCTTAAAAGTGTGCATAATGCGACCTCTGTATGCCACTGAACCTTCGTACTGTTGCTTCTTGCCAGAGTTTGGTTTCTGTACACCTAACTCAGTTGGAATATGTTGATGGCTTGAAAATTCCTAAGACATTGAGAAAACAGAGCAACAGTAATACAGATTTACCTGGCTGTTTTAAAACTTTTTTTCATTCCCATTCACCAATTTGAATATTCATATTATCCAAAACAAATTTAAAGTGCTTTAGTTATTTACCATTCAATTTCAGAGTTTGGTCACCACATCTGAACACTGTCGAGAGTATTGCAAATTCAGTTCATCGAAGCTGTCGCTGAAATGCCGTGTTCAGAGATATAATTTGTTTTTTGTCAATTATGTAACGCTTTTGCGTAAATTAGTCTTGTGTGTGCTTACACGCATTCCTTGTGCCTTCACGAACAATTTCGCACAGAAGACTGACATTAACAAGACCCCGTAGACATAAAGCTATTTTAGTTTAAAATAATTGAAAACAGTGAAATTAAAAAAAATAATTATGTACTTGTACAAAAATTTTTCATGACCCTTATCTTCCTCCTGTTGTGTTTGTGTGCCCCTGGAATTAGTCTTGCATGTTCTCAAGACAATTCCCTCAAAAGAAACAAGACATTTATGAATTACAAAGAGAGAAAGTGATACACTGCACAAAGCTGCCTGTGACTATTATGCCGTTTTCTGCATGTCACAATAAAGCTTAATGAAACTGAGCAAACTTCATTAATTTGGGTTACCCAAGACAATTTGTTCAAGATTGGATACTCCTTCCCAACAATAGGGGCCTATGATTTGAATTCCTTTGAAGTTGAAATTGTGTTACAAAAGACAAATTAAACATTGCAAGTGCACAACATCAATTCTAGTAGACAATTTGAATATGTAAATCTAAGAATTTTGACTGAAAAATGTGTTAACCACATCCTGCTGGGGGTATCTATAAATGTTAATTCTGCTGGGCCAAAGTATTTTTCCTTTTTTTGGTATTAAAAATTCATATCTTCATTACAGGACACTTACACCCACACATACAACTGTCTGGTTTCTACTCTAATCTGACAACCATCTATTGACGCACGAATATTTCAGCCAGGCCTGCCACCTTGTAAAAAGAGCCCAGATTGTGCAGTGTTATGTAATTTTTTTTGTTCCCGAAACTGGCACAGTGCGCTGCTGACGTCTTTTCAGTGGGTGCCAGATTAGTGTGCAGCGGTACTGTGTGGCTCATCGCTGTGGTGGTGGAGCGCTTTTGTCCCCAGTGATAATTCGCTCACACCGAATGCCCCAAACAGTGGTATACTGTTTCAAAAAAATGCTGGATTATCTCCGCTATAGACATTGAAAAAATGTTGGTTATTCCCAGCAGCCTGGTCTTTTGTTACAAGGCCCAGTTCCCCTTGTCCAATTTCAGACACCCTGGCTGTGCACATAAATAACATGTGCCCGAAACTGGGTTAAAATAGCCTGGAAACTATTATAAGTCCAAGAAAAGTATAATACATGTTGGATATGAATTACTGGCTACACCATTAACTGATATATGATATACAGAATGTGCAACATACCTCCAAAAAGTGCCATTATGAAGTGGCACTACACTTATGCACATGTTGTTAAAATTTGTGCGTGTACACATTTTGGCTTGTTAAAGCATTTTACCGCTTTAAGACATAGATTAGCTTCTAATTCTGGTTGCTGAGGTACTGGTAGTCTACCGGTATATCACATTTCATCAGTCTAACCGCATTTACACCTTTGTTCCTCTTAAGACATTACTTACACTTTCATCGTTTTTTATCAGGAGATTGTCCGTGTTAAAAACGTACACAAGGAAGGGATGGGAGAAGTGTATCTCTGTGACATTTGTCAGTCTCCCTGGAAACTCAGTAATGTAACTCTGTTTTTGAATCCTATCAAGAAACATTTTCAATATCTGAAACAACAAAAGGGAGTTTGAAAATTCTAAATATTGTTAAAATCCTACCTTGAGTATATTCTTCTTTTCTGTGAGTTGAGAGTTAAGTCTGTCTTTTGTATTCTGGTCACCACTGTTGTCCTTGAGGTCAACAGATTTACCAGTACACTTAACTTCTTCAAGCCGTCCTCTTCGGGAACCTTTAGGTGACATGTGTGGGCCATCATTGGAATGGTTACTACTTTGACTTACAATGTTCTGGCAAGAGTCTGTATTAATGTGATACCTTGGGGTCTCTGTTATATTGGATAGATGGTGTTTGCTGCCTTCAAAACCACGTTTTAGTAACTCCCCATCAGAATATGCACTGACAGCAGGAGACTGATCTTGATAATCCGACGATTGGCTAATCTCAGTTCCTTTGTGCTTGGAGTCCTGGAGGTTTTTGAATTCACCTTCTGTATTCTGTGGGTCACTGAACAACACAAAACTGTTGCCTTCTCGATTAAAAGGCTCAATGATGCCAAAATTCTGCTGGATATTCTCATTAACATCAGAACTAGACTTGGACAACGATCTTGCACCATTCCTTGCATCCTTCTTGGCCTGGTTCCTACAGTACTTGGATGGAGGTATGTTAGGTCTCATTAGGTTTGGAATGTTATCTGCTTTATCAGTGTCCGCCTCCATGCCTAGAGAACTATCACCATCCTTACTCCTATTCCTCTCAACCTCCTCCCTTGGTGAATTATTCTTCTTCGTGTTGTCTACCTGGCCTTTGATCAAGTTCCCTGAATACTTTGAAGAGACTTTTGCACAGGCATACTTCCCAAGATACTTTGCATAGGATCCATTCAGGTCTTTACTGTATGCTGGTTTGATCAAGCTGAAGGATTTTTCACTCCTTGGCTTTTGAGTTTTCTCTCCTTTAATTATATACTCCATCTGGGTTTCACTTGGCTGGGGTTCCAAGGTAGTTTCCTGCAAAGAATCGCTCAGTGAGTGTGTCCCTGCAAGGTCAATTGGCTGGTCACATTGCAGAATGGTTGGCGTAAGGGATGATACACTCTGCTGGCTTTGCCAACTTTCTATGTTGGTCTCCTTGCCAGCTTGATGCTGCTGCTGTTTCTTCTTACTGGACTTCAAGAATTTCGTGTGTGATGCTGGGATATTTATGGAGGGGCCCTGTTCATTAGTCACCACATTACCACCCTGGGATGCCTCATTCACTTCAGGTACTGGTGTTCTGCTCTGATACATTGCATTAATGACTACATCTCCGCCAGATAGGACATCATCCTTGGGATCTTTGACAAACCCCAGCTTGAGGCCATTCCTATTGCACAAACAGAACTACATTAAATTTTTGTATAAAATCACTTTCACAGATTATCAATGTATTACGATGTGTTGATGTGCAAAAAACACTATCTGACCAGTCCATCTTTACTTAATATTATACTTCTTTGGAGATGCCCAGTTTAGAAAATTTATCGGAAATTAACAAAGTACAAAATCCTATCAATTTTGAGAAAGTGAAGCACACAAAATCTGAGGAGCACAAATCAATTATATGATCAACATTAGGTTTTGTAGCTCTGTGGGTAATGTGCCTTGCTTCACAGTTGTGAGTAATCACATCCCAATGTTTACATTATTAATCACTAATATCAGATGAGGAAATCACGGTTTCTGGAAAAAATCTGTTCTTTCCAAAATAAATACATATGGAAAAAATGTTGACATTTCAAATTGAACTTGAATAGCAATCACTGAATTCAGGCGTACCCTGTCAAGGATGGGCAGACAAAACAACTATACTTAGACCTCAAGTAACTCTTAATAACTGATATATAACAACACTGATGTGCTTGGATGGGAATTTGTCACCCAACTGTCTAGAGGAATAGGCAGATTTAGGGCAAGGCAGATCTTGATGAAATAATCTCTCTGTCTGGAAAGCTCTGTGCTCCAAGCACTGCTCAATAGTAAAGCGATCTGATGGCTCTAGCTGAAGGACATTCTAAAATAATAGAGAGAAAGACAAACTTTGTGTTAATGGCTTGCATGCTCCATTGTCTAGTAAAACATCTGAAATTGTACAATCAGTGTATTTTTTGAAGCAATTACACTTCAATAATAAAAGAAATAAAATAAAAACACCTGCGTAACTTTAATTGTCACATTCTTTACAGCAATATTCTGAATTTTATGTAACCTTACAAATGTGCCACATTTATTTAAGTGATATGAGTTGTACATGTATATCTCTTTTCTAATGTGCAATTAAAAAATAATACGAAAAAAGAACACACCTTATAAATAAAGGAGACATAGCGAAAGGGAGCCCATACAAAAACATTAAGTAACCAGCTTAATCAATTCAGTCATTGCTTTGGGATTACATAAAGCATTGTGCCTAATTACAGGTACTAAGGAACATATATATTAAAATTGGAGGCTGAATATTTAGGACTGTTAGGGTTAAGGCAATTTTTATGCATGTCAATGTGTATAAAACAATTTGCAAATAACAGACTGCCTCTAAACTTTCTTCAGCAAATAAAATAAATAAAGCAAAATTTACTTTTAATGTGGTGTTTTTCAATTATTGTAATCTGATATCATTCCTTTTGAATTGCACCAGCATCATTCAAAATGCTGAATTAAGGCAGGGCCAAAAATGTGGTTGTGAACATAACCCGTGATGTCCTCATGATGTTACATTCAACACCTTGCCTTCAGACTCTCTGATTAAGTAGTAAAGTTTGTTTTATAAGATACACTCCTTATTTTCTTTACTCGGTGAGACGGAAAACTTTCAACAAGCAGCATAAAAAAAAATGGCTTTGCATTGTCTTTTTCAAGTAAACAGTGCATCAACATTGAATGAACCTGTGACCACCAAGTGACCACCAAGTAAAAAATTGATGATTCCTTTTCATAAAAGAACTCTATACAGGTAGAATTATGAGATTCATTGCTGTATGGACACCTACCTTCATGATATCCAGGGTAACACTACTCATTACACCCGAGTATTTCATTTCCAGAGTCTGAGGCTCTGAAACTTTTGGAAACTACAGAAAAAAAAATAAAATAGGAGTAATGTCATGGTAACCCTTTCTCAAAAGACTCTATGAAGTCAATTCTAATACAGTTATTTCAGAGGATATCGTCATGACTTCTGCTTCTAATTTTTACTCTAATCTCCAATGATGCCATAAGCTGTAATAATTGATTCAATACACTGAACACATACCTTTTTTTAATTAGAATTTTCGAAGAAATGTTTCAGTCTATCAAAAGCATACTACAGATTACAGTGAGCGATTTCATTCCCAAATTATGGGTAGCAAATATGCTTTGCAATTTTTTGGCATTTATAAGAATTTAGTTTGCAATGTAATCAATGAGTTTTGTGATTTAATTTAAAATGCATAATTAAACACTATGCAATTGGTTTGATTTAATTACTGATGTTTAGCTAGAATTAGCTAGAATAATCAATAAAACTAACAAAGTAAAAAAACATACTCGGCAGCTTGCAGTTAAGATTTTCCTTGACTTTCAAGTAATGAACATCAACCCTAAATACATTTCTTTTATTAACCCTAAAAATAGCCAGGTTATTTTGACCCATCTCACAGCTGGGGGGGGGCAGGGAGCTAATAATCATTACAAGTGAAGTTTCAAATCAATCAGACATATGGCTTTGTTACGGTCTTTGAAGTTCAAGGCTACAAAAATGCAACCTGTGAGCACTGATCACCATGGTGAAAAATACAGTCCAACAAGGTTAATATGAGCTTGAAGAGACTCTCCCAAAAACCTTGTCTCATGGTGAACCCTGTGTTACGTGTTGATACGTAACCCCTTCATAGAGGACAAGCCTGGCATCATGCACCAGCAAGCATTGTTATACACTACGGCAATGTACTGTGCATGTACATGTACTGTACAGTATCTACAGTGGATCAGTATTCGATGTACAGGTACCAGCCTTTATCTATTTAATAAGTTTTAAGTCGTATTTATCAGTATGATTCAAATTAATAAAACAAAGATTTTGAATACGCCAACTTGTGTGACGCAACAGCAGAGAACAGTGGTGTAAGTGGCCGGCCGCACTATGCCACGCAGCGTGGCGAAACACTACCTGGAAACTGGTACTTGATGTTGCACATAAGTAAGGGTTTTTTAAACTTGGGAACCAGTTCATGCTTGTAAGGACCGGATGTAAAAGGGCATTGAAATCAGGGACTTTCCGTTGGTTTTTAATTGGCGGGAGGGGATCTATTTTGTAGAAACGTTCGTTTAATTTATGGAACAGTACCTTTAATTTTTATTGTGCGACAGGGTTGTGGGAGTTTAATTTGAAAGGGGAATGTGGGACATCAGTTCACTGAAGGAAGGGAACGTAAGAAAGGTGTAATTTCCAAAACCTATTTCAATTTTCTTTCCACTGACCATGTGGGGTCATTGTTGAGGATTGTTTGTGCATTTGTTTTCCTCGGCATCAAAACTTCCGTCCCATTTATGATTTTCAATTTAGGTTCACCCATTGATTAGTTTAAATTAAAAACCCACCTCTATCGGACCAGACCCACTGTGATTGAAACTCCTGTGATGCTTTGACATCACAATACCCATTGTCGCCTTGAACAAAACCTTCCAACGGCACAAGGAACAGAGACACTAAGTCATTGGTGGTAAAGCAACAGCCCAAATTGCCGAGTGGATTAGCGTTATTAGAGAACCACTAATGTGCTCCATCAAGATTTACAGGTACTGGGATTAAGCCTTTGAAGAGGTATTTTCAACTGTACCTGTAAAACCGCTTAAAAAAAGCTTTAAACATTGAGAATGGTTTCTGACACTGCAGGTTAGGTAAAAGTGCTCATCTTGTCAGTGTTCACATCTTAGCACAGCTCGTATTAAGTAAGTTTTCTCTCATAGGAATGTGTACATTTTGAACGGGACTGAAGAAATATGCTCGCAGTAAGCACAATCTTCTCTCAAGCGTGCTCATGTTAATTGTGTTTGACTGTATACATTTTTGGCTGCCTGGTCTTGGGAAAATGGGCACTGCACAGGAGCGGCATGTTCAATATTCACAAAACTGGTGACAAAATGACTGCAAATTTCTTAATTACTATTAAAACCCTTAAAAGTTCAGCTTCTCAAAAAAGCACAATGGCGATATCAGAAAAACTGTTGAGGGGATGGATTCCACCCCCCTCCCAGCTTTTTTAAGGTTAAAGTAAACTTTCACAATTTGGTTAAAGTGTACAGCAAATTCAGGAGCCCAGTTGCATGTTTGGTATGCATCACTGTTTGGTATAGCAATGTTGTTTCTTAAATACATGTAAACCTGAATATTAACCTACATGTTACATTGTTCATATATTAAAGTCAGTACTCGTGCCTGGCTCCTTTTCAACCAAAACTTGTGTTATGTGCCAAGCACAAAGAATAATAAATAAGTTATCATTCCAAATGCATTTGTCACCACAGGTTTGTATGAAAAACACTGTTACTTATTGAGGCACTCATGGCTCTCTGAGTTTTGCTTAAATCCATTTTTATCGCTTCAAGTTATAGCCATCTTGTTATATTTTCTACCAGTTGATGTTTAATATTGATGTTATCCTTTTGTGTGTGTTTTGTGCTGATTCTTTGGTGCTGCAGCAGACCCTTGGAATATTTTACTGATTTCTTCTGCTCAATTCTGACGTGCAACAGCCATTTTGGATATGGTCTCCTTCCATTCCTGTTGAAGAAATCTGAATGTCATCGTACTTCGAAATGGCTGCAATACAAATTCTTACTGTACTATTGGTGCTTTGCTCATCATGTCACCATTTGATAGAGGCAAATATTACAAGCCCAACATGCCTGAGACTTGTTTGACCAGTACACAGTGTTATGACATGGTCTTGGAGCTTCTTGTGAACCCATGTCCCATATCTCAAAAAAAAAAAACTGTGTCCTACTGGATTTCATCCTTCGAAGTTTGCCATAACCAAATGGTCGAAACACGGCCAGATCTGCTTGTTAATCCCTGGACATAACTACATGTATGCATGGATATCTCCATAAACCCTGGTCCAGAATGCAGCTTGATCTCTCAAGAAGAAAAGAGCGAGTCGAATGATCCACAAACAAGTGTATCCATCAAGTATTTATGAAATCACCTTCTCAAGATCCGCAGATCTTTTGGGGGCTTGATTTCTCACAAGATGCTTAACATTCTTAAAATCAAGTGAATTCTGCAATTTAGGGGAAGAGGGCTGGCCATAGTAACACTTTGAATTCATTGAATTACATGATGAGTTTGTACAACAAAAGTCCTCTTGTGCAGCCATGTAATCGAACCAGATTTTTGAATCTTCGTTACACTGACCGATTAGTCCTGACTGATACACAGAAACTCCATTTGCACCCATCTTTGCTGTCTGGTGTGGTACCTCCTGGAAATCTACGAGCTACCCGTGTTTGTACCCTCCCAGATGTGGTTACGAATCAGCCTGACTCTAGAGTCAATGTGGATGATTAAAACCAATTGGTTTGAAATCATCTCCAAATCAAAGGGCTTCATGTAAGACCAGTTTTATGGATACGTTAAAAAATCACTTTAGCTCATGTTGTGAATCAGGCAGGCATGACAAGATTCTCACAGGTGATTTCAATTTCAATCTACACCCTGTACTTCAAACGAAGTCTGCTAAAATCAATAATCAATTATGTCAGTGATTTCAGTGGCACAACATTATAGATTCACCCACAAGAATCACAGAGAAAAGTTCCACGTGTCTTGATATGATCATGATATCTAACGAAAGTAAAGTGTTTTCTTCAGGCAACATCACAGTTGGGTTTGGTGAACATAATATTTTGTATATGGCCGACAAAGCCCGGAAAACTAGAGCTGAGCCAAAATTTATAAAATCAGGGACTTTCCACAGATTTGATGTCAATCTTTTAACTACGATCTCAGAAAAGTTAACAGGGAAATGATACGTTGACTAAATAACTCTGATATTGTTGAAGGCTGCTTTTAAAAACAAGTTCACTGAAATGGCGGATCAGCATGCACCTTGGATAGAAATTCATATCAAGGGCAATTTACCTCCATGGTTTAACCAGGAAATTCATTCATTGTCCCAAGACAGTGATTTCTGTAAAAGAGTTGCCCAGAAGAGTGGTAAATCTAGGGATTGGGAATTATACCATACCAAAAGAAACCAGACCAGTAGTGCATCATATATGCTAAGAAATATAATACTCAAATATCATACAGCATAATAAGAGTGATGACAAATAGTTTTGGAAGATAATAAAATCTGTTCTTCCATCAAAAGACCATGAATGTATCAGGGAAATTAAAGTGAATGGCACCTGCATTAAGGAGCCAAAGGATATCCCTAATGCTTTCAACACCTATTTTACAGAGATTGGACATAAACTAGTGCAAAATTTTGATGACGACACTGATAATGCGGGCAACGTTTTAAATTGTTTAAATGAACATCTGAACTTTGATGAAACTGATGAGGAGTATGTTGTAAAACAGCTGTCTGCCCTTCATGTGGGTAACACAACAGGTATTGATGGAATTGATGCCAAGTTACTAAAAGCAGGAGCTCAGGAGATCGTAGCGCCCCTCACATATATCTTAAATTTTACTATTCGCATTGCTGTCATCCCACAGAGTGGAAGAAGGCTGTCATTTCACCAATTTTCAAAGACGGTATGAAAACAGACTGTAACAATTACAGACCTATATCAGTCTTAATTACCTGTGACCTGTAAAATTCTCGAGAGGGCCATTCCCATCCAAGTGTACAAGCATTTGCATTTATCAAGTGCCAATCTGGTTTTCGTCCTCAACACTCAACACTTACTGCCTTATTATTTTATATTTCTTTTAACTCAATAAATGCATTTCATAGAGAAACGCTATGCATTCAATTTCTCAGCCAACATTCTTGCAAGTGCTGGGTTGAGCCCCACCTGTGTTAAGATTCCTAATCTCCTGGGATTGGTGAACCACAGGATTTGTGAATTTGATGAGTACAAACTGGAGTGGTCTGTGTGCTCACTTAGGATGGGTTTCAAAGGGATGTATACATAATGTTTACCAGGTTCTTGCCTTTGGGTCCTCATCATGTTTTCAAGCAACAGTAATTGAAAATTTTACATGTAATTATGCATTAATGATTAATACGTATACTTGCATTTTCCAGATCACTAGGACTTACTAAAGAACAATAAATACTAAAAGAGGGACAACTGCAGCAGATCAAATGTACATGTTCTTTCTCTCATGCTCTCTAGGGCCAAGATTTGGTTTGCTGTGTTTGTGAAAAAGTATCATACAGTCATCCTATCAATTATGACAAAAAGAAGAACCTTTGTTGCAGGAGGGACACCACATGTAAATGCTGATATCGCAGCTGAACCTACCCTAAGCCCAGAGAACCTTGGATTCTTCTCAAATAGCTCCATCTGGTAGTTGGGCAAAGCTCCTAGAATCTTCTGGATAATGAAAAGTTGATCAACCTCACTCTCTCCTGGGAAAAGAGGCTGTCCATCACTCAGCTCACCCATGATGCAACCAACAGACCAGATGTCAACTGCCTTGCCATAAGGGGCTCTGTCAAGAGACAAAAAGCAAGCAAAAAACATAATGAGTGCACAAATGTCAGTGAAATTTGAAATTATCACTTCGTAATTAAGCATTTTGTATATCATTAATTTATGTTAGGGGAGCATGGCGTAACCCTTGACACGAGGCCCTTGAAAAACTTGTCTTTGCTGAGGCCATGCGGCCACTGGACCCCTTTTGTTAAACTTTAATCCCTTTACAAAATACTAGTCTGACAATCATTTATCAGGGGGTTTTCATTCTCCTTGCAGAACAACCTGCCCAGCCATGCAGAGCTCCTTCCAGGTAGGCCTCTGTCCACAGTTTATTGTTTACTAAGGGAGCTTGTCCAAAAGGTCCCTGCATTTTAACCGCACACGGTCACTGCGGTTGAGCCCTGTTGCTAGGAACTGCGGCAGCAGTGTTGAGGCTCACTCATTTAAATTTAAGAACATTTAATGAGGCAGCCCTAGGATGAACACAATTATTATGCTGATGCTCTTGAATTATGCATGCCTGCTGCAGTGACCACGGTCAACCCAAACATTCTATGCGTGGTGCACAGACAAACGCTTGGTGTACATGTACATGTTCATGTATATCTACTGGTTATTTTCGGAATGTGTAAAATGGGCGGCGCATCTGCAATTCAAAGTGTCAGGGACATAAATGTGGTGATTTTTTCTCAGACTGTCACAAAAAAGCAGACTCTCTATATGCTACAAAGGTGATCCGCGCAATGCCCTAAAATATACATTTTACTTGGCACAACACCGAATCACACACGGAGAGCACAATTCTGTATTTCAACATGCGCATAGGTGTTCCTGTACAGCATCGTTCGCACACACGTGTGCAACCAGACTTGTGCAAGGATTAAATGATGTGACTTTTGTCACTTCGTGACAATAGAGAAACACAGAGACCAAGCTTTTTGTTAGTTGTTGTTTCCAGTTGCTATGGAATTAAACAACATTTTGCTTTGAAACTCTGCTAATTTGTTCATTAGATCAAAGGAAGTAAAATCGTAGGAAAAACTCCAGATCGAAAAATTTTTGATTTTCCGCTGGCGGGTTTTTGCCACTTCGTGAAAACACAGACAAATTGATCAAATACAGTGTATATTGTGATGTGTTTAGAATAACAATATTCACTGTCGTATGAAAAAAGGTTAGTGTGCACGTGAGATTCAAAAAAAGCAAATACATGTTTGAAAGCATCGATCCAGGGATTTTAAATCAAAAGGCTTTCGATCTCCATGAATGACAATCAGGTTATGAGGGTGCTATTGCAGAATTACGGTAACACCTACCTGGGGTTTTTAATTTTCAATAAACTGTCCTATATTGAACCATAGATGGCGTTAAAACTGTACCTGCCTCGATTTTTTGCCATAGGGTTTGTACACACAATTGCTTGAGCAACTTCGACCAAGAATTAATACCAGAACGAAAGAGAAATCAGACTAAATTTTCCCTTCCGTTCGATTGCAAATATACCCAAGAGTCAGATTTTCAAATAATGTTTCATAATTTTTTTCCAGTTTAGACAAAAATCATGTGACATGAAATTAACCACTTCCTGCTGGGGACTCCGGGATTGGAGACGTATGGTTTATATGGGTGGCCGGGGTCTCCGAACTCAGACAAAGGAAACAGGGCCCTGTAACAAAAGACCGTACTCCGAACAAAAGACCGTACTCCGAACAAAAGACCAGGCTGCTGGGCATTACCGGCATTTTTCACTCTCAAAAGTGGTGATAATCCAGCCCTGTTTTGAATACTTGGGCGTCAATGAAGATCACCTGTCAACTTAGAGTAGTGCCTAAAGATTACTTGGTGCGGCTACAAACG